ATGTTGATTTTTTCACTGTAAAATGTAATAGAGAGATGAGGCGTTAATAAAATAAACAATCAAACGAACAGATAAAAAAGTAAATGAATAAATAAATACCCAGCGGGCAAATTATGTTGTTTTAACGTTGAAACAGCGTTGAACCATAACGTTGATAATACGTTGGATAAACGTTGGATTTGAAAGTTGACTCAACGTCAGATAACAACATTGTATCAACCACAGTTGTTAGACAACATTCTTGCATGAAAAGACATTAAATTGAAATGTTTTTATTTTTGGTACAAAACACAGGTACACAAATATAACGTACATTGTAAAAACATCCAAGTGCCTGCTTTGTCTGATTTTTTCAACGCATTTAGCTCCTAAGCATGTTTTGCACCTAAGCATGGTACACCCTTTTAGCCTGGATGTGTTTAGCAGTAGGACATGTTTGATGGCTAAATATGTGTAGGGTATATATGTATGGCCTTTAAGATAAAATTTCCAAGGTTTAGATTAATATATATATATATATATATATATATATATATATATATATATATATATATATATATAACAAAGTCACGGTCACCTCAACCTGTCTATGTATAACAGGGTACCGAGAATTGTCAACTTTATTAACTTCACTCCATCACATTTACAGCAACTTATTCATTCTAATGTTAGCTGACCTTGCAAGTAAGTTTATTGGAATGTATTTCTGAATAACAAGTCAAGAAAATTCACTAGTTCACTAAAGACACAAATCAACTGTCACTTTTACTTTTAAACACTTTTTTTTATTATTTTGATAAAGTTAGTTACAGTATTGATAAACAAAGTATCACGTTTTCAATAATTAATATTTTAAATTACAATCCATGTCTGCAACGTTGTGTCAATGACCAAAATACAACGTTGAGTCAACATCACATTATGACGGTGTTTTGACGTGGCTGGATCAACGTTGATTTTACGTTGAATTTAGGTAGATCAACGGTAATTCAACGTATCAACCTGTTTTCAACGTTGATCCAACGCGACTATGCATGCTGGGTAGATAGAATGGGTTGGACATTACAACGTGGGTGGTAGTCGAAAACGGGATTGGACAGCTATATCGATGCGGAAGGGTATAAACGGGATATCATACCCTCATGGTGAGTAAACGTAAAATAAAACTGTTTCTTTGCCCTTTATACAGGGTGACCCCGAAAAAAAAAAACAGAACCCATAAAACTTTTATTAAATCCTACAAAGGCCATTCAAATTTCTAGAAATTAGCTGGACTTAAAATTCAATATGTGCATGATTATTTCAACAATTTTCAATATTTTGTGTTGCATTGTATAAATGCCATTTTTAAAAATAGGCTCTAAATGGCCTCCGAGGTATTAGATGCACACTTGCATACGAAGCGAAAAACTGTCAATTCAAAATTTCCCCGATTCTTGCTGTGATTGCTCCCCACAGTTCAATATAATCATTTGAGGGTTGAATTGTTGTCCTTTGAGTTAAGTGTCTTATTGAGGTAGAATGAGAGGTAGAATGTCTCTTATAACTCTTGTAAGAGTGTATTTTTTAATGTTAATACTGTGAAACAAACAAATTGATAAATAAATATAATGGGTTGGACATTAAAACGGGGAATTGCTTTCGGAAACAGGGGAATGGACAGCTATCTCGAAACGGGATATCTTACCTTCATGCTGGGTAAAAGTTAAAATAAAAATGATTTTTTTTTTGCCCTTGATATTTTTACATATTCTAGCGTAACATTAATCATGGACTTGCCCATGAGTGCTGTTACAAACACTAACTTGGTGAATGCTAGTTACTCATTTTGAATGTTGTATCTTTGGATTATAGTCCTTTGTGTTTTAACTAAAACTATAAGGTTAATTATAAATTAATTAATTATATATATTAATTATAAAATAATATTTTACTAAAAATTATCTTATAAATATGGGTTGGACATTAAAAACGGGGAGTTCATTCAATTCTAGTAATTTACTTATTGCCAAGGGCCTGTATCACTTTTACACAGGTGTTTCATAGAGTCGTAGGCAAAACATAGAGTCGTAGGCAAAACTCTTTATTTCTTAAATATTTTGTTTTTCGATTTGACACATTTTCTTCACCTTAGTATACATTACTCTCTATTTTCAGATGTCCTGACGCAGAGAAAAGCCACGTTTGGGCTCTTTGATGTTATCATGAATAATGCTGGCATTGTAAATGAAAAGGATTGCAAATCGTGCAATATATAGTGGCAAGCTTTTAGAATTATAAAAACAAAAAAATGCATTAAACATTTTTATGCAGTTGCTTGATATGTGTTATTATCAAACTATTTTAGAAATTGCGCTGGAACACATGCATAGAATATAAAAAAAACTGCCACGGAATAACTTTGAAATAACCATAATTTCCCGTGACAGTCATAAGAGCTACATGTCCATTTAAATGCAACTCCAGCTCCCTATGACTGAACTAGACTAATCTGAATCACGCACGAATTGGGGTTCTTTTGAGATTTGTCGATCGCGGATTGGAGGATAAAGTGAAACGTAAAATCGATTAATCTATAATTCCAGACCGCAGTTATAAGCAGCAGACTGTTGGGAATGGAAAGAGCGTGGAGGAAACGTTGGTGGTGTCCTGAATGTGGCTTCTATAGCAGGCACACTAGTTGACTCAAATCAGATTTCCATTAGCAGATTCGTTTACCCCAAGATGAATTTCCATAACCCACCTAATGCCCTAATAGTGATTATCAGTTTATTTTCAGCTTCTTAAGATATATATGTAAAAAATATTATTCAGGCACGGTTAACTTAGACTGCTATCCTCAAATTTAACAGCAGTTAACATAAACTGATTTTTAGCAAAACCGAGCTATTTCGAACAATAAATGGTTAGATAAATTCTGGACTTTTTGACACGTCACGCAAAAAGCGTGGTGGATCTCTGCTGCCGTTTTCGAAGACTTTCGCCACCAACATTTGCGACCGCTTTCAAATATTGATGTCATCGCTTGTGAAGATGTTACTTTTTTTGTAGCTATTCAACACGGTCACATATTTACAAAGATAAAGGCTGCAACCTCAAAATAATCCAGTAAATTACCAAAGAGAAAAAGGGAGAATAATCAATAAAGAAAAAATTAAGGTCTGCGTGTTCGATCACTACAGGTATATTTAGTGGAACGTATATCTTTCAGCATAGCACATGGCACCAGACATAGCGAATCACGGTGTTCGTTTTAATGCCGTGTGCCCAGATTTTACTGCCTTTTTCATTGATTTTAATGTGAACAAGGGTGGAATTTAAGATAAAACAAAAGATAATGGTAAGAAAGCAGGTAAACTCGTGAACATCACGGAGAGAAAGGGCATGAATGCCGTTACATTGGTATGCAAAGTAAGAATTGACCAGTGAATGCAGTCGTGACTGCCGTCAATATTACCGTATTTCGTTAAAAAAAGTTTTATCACCAACGGTCTCCCTGGACTGAGTGTTCGGTAAAACGGTGGCATACATAGCAAATAGCCTTAAGTGCACTATGCTCACTGCATTGTATTATTCTGCTGCAAAACTCGCTTTTTTTGATATAGACAGAAATAGAGCATTTTGCTGTATAAAAAATTATTCAAGTACATGTATTCTTCGCCGAGAAAGACATACAGCATTAATCAAAAATCCTTCTCCCACCTCCAATTCCATATGCTTTTTATTTAGAAAATATCACCTGAAAATGGTGTAAATTATTTTATACAAACATCATGATGATACAGGAACCATACGTTGGTATGTAAAGATAAAACCCATTACGTAGTGGCCTTTTTTCCTTGTGCAATGTCGAGGGTATCTCTTTATATGCACATGCATTGATATTCACCGGTGCATAAAGTGACAAACAAGCAGGATCGAGGAGAATGGAAATACCAATTTATGTAAGTTGCCCCGGAATGCTCCAGGGGCATGCAATATTTTCATGGATCATATATTTCTCCATCACATCAATGACTATCCTCTCAATTTTTTCGGATCCATTTAGACTTGCCAAGTTTGCTTTTTTACTAGAGTCAACAACATACCATCAAAATGCAATGAATACTTCAAAATTGATATTTGCTGGTGCACATAGTGACAAACAAGCATGATCGAGGAGAATGAAAAGAACAATTTATGTAAGTTGTACCCTGAATGCACTAGGGGCATCAATATTTTCATAGATCATTCATTTTTCCATAGACACTCATATCAGTGGCTTTCCTTTTATTTTTACGGGTTCAAACTTGCACATTGTGCTTTTGTTGATTTGGGTCGACGACATACTATCAAAATGCAGTAAATACTTCAAGATTGTTTTCTACATTTTTTATCTTCATCATTGCCGTGGGAGAGCATACATACTTGCATAAAAAGGAAAGAATAAACAAATGGTTAAAGTAAGTGTTCACTTATATTTACCTAAGTAAGTACTCAAAATTAAGTCTTCAACGCTTTTAGTAGTAGTGTCAACATAATTTTTCTGCCCAGGGTAACTGCACTGTGCATTTTCACAAGAAAACACAATACCTTACCTAAACAACTAAGATGTGTGGTGTTCTTTTTCCCCGTTCAATAGCTTTCCGTCGCAGATAATGTTTAACTAAGAAGTCATGTGATATTGGGGTAATAATAACAGCCGATTATTTCCGCACAAAAAGGCCGCCAAGACAGTCAAAAAAAGATGTCATGTTTATCAAGATTATGTCAACTGTATAACATCTTACTTCAGTAGGAATCAAATGTATTGGAGGTCTCAAACAACAACAGGTGTCGAACAAAAAATATCTGAGAAGAAAGGCTCACACACACGATACATAGCTGTCACCACGCAACACAAAGCACAGCCCTAGAGCAGTGGCAAAATCAACATGCTGCGAAAAACTGGATGCATTTTCCTCCATTTGGCGGCGTTGCTTTCTTTTATAGTCTTAACACATGGCCAAAGAAGACTACGTATGAATATTTCTCTGGTAAACAACGGGTACGAAGGACTTCTCATCGCTATAAGGGAAGATGTTTCGGAAAGTGAAGCGCTTATTACCAGGTTAAAGGTAATTGCCATATACGCATAGGATTAACAGCACTATTGTTTAAATTCTGGATCTCTCAAACATCAGCGTTATCGATACATCGCCATGCAGTCTTATTAACCGCCTCATAGGTATTTTATTAGAATTGGCGTTAAATGCTTGTTTATTTAACTGTTTTCTAATGTATACGGAAATGAACATTGATCGACGCATCACCTAGGCAGTTGAATTTTATCATTCCTACCCTTAAAGCACGTATGGTTATTTTGCAGTTGTAATTAAAAGCATGATGATATGTACAATAGTGGGCACTGGGAAGAACAAAAGCGTTATGTGACCTTCCATTATCTTCTGGGGTACCCACTTTTCTCCCTTCTCCCTCACCCAAAAACAGCAATACGAGCAAAATGAGTCAACACCAAGTCATTCTCTATCCTTGCACGCTGCATGTTACAGTAAAATAGTCTATTATCAGTGTAGTAGTATCGCCCAGCAAAAGTGACGCACATAATTGCATAAGGAAATATGTAAATAGTTGTGACGTGTCGATTGAGACTCTTATAATTGTGAAAATGTGTATAAGACAAAACAAAAATAAAATATTTTCTATTTAAACTATTAAATGAATTTAATGACGTAATGTTCGTTAATTTTTAATTAATCTTCTTAAGCTATGTTCTCGTTTGGTTAAAACGCAGTAGTGTAAAGAAAATAAGGCATATATTACCTAAGAAAATAACTAACAACATTCCTCAGTTACCTAATATCGATGGGAATACTTCCTTGTCTCGTCCCAGATAGCCTATCAGCTTTGTACACGTGTTCAGGTATTTATGTTTCAACCAAGTTTTACAATCTATAGAGCATGACCTGATCTGACCTGACTCCCATTGAAACCTTTATTCTCTAGGTGTTTTATAACCTTTACGTACAGAAGAAGCAATGTGTTTGTGCACAGTTTTTGTAATTGTATAATATCAAGCTAATAACACTTGCGAAACCCCTTAAAATTAAATAAATGAAATTAAATAATGATACATTAAATAAATGAATTAAAATACATACATAAATAAATAAATAAATAAATAAAATAAATGATTCTCGTGATTAGTAATTTTTTATTATTCTTCATTTTGTTTGGGTTTCTTATTACCTTAAACCACTGCTTGTAACATGTGAAAACTATATCCTATATCCTCTAAAATCCTAATCAATAATAAAAGGCGGTTGCACAGTAGATTCACACCAAAGGTCGTATTTCTGCACATGTGCTAGAAATTGCAAGGCATTGTCCTTCCCCTATTTTTTGAAAATCGACATTATGTACGGAAATGGAATAGTCTATGCCTTTTCGAACAAACTTATCAGCTGCAATATATATTGTGATAAAGAGAAGCTTTTGAATTATTTATATAATTTGGATGCATTGCACTTATCAATTTTTTTTTTCTTTTTTGTCACCATTCAATATGTAGTGTAAAACTGTTTATGATAGAGAATGTATATCTTAATCAAAGTGAAAATCGTATCAATAAAATTAATCAGCCAGTCGAACGGTGCATATTAAAATCGTATCAATAAAATTAATCAGCCAGTCGAACGGTGCATATTTGCAGGAAGTCTTTACAGACGTATCCTCTCGTTTGTTTTCTGCAACGAGACAGCGAGCATACTTACGGAATGTCACAATCCTGGTTCCAAAGTCATGGCAGAAGAAAAACGACTACGGAGAACCAGGGATAGAGGCATTTGACAAAGCCAATATCATCATTGTCAAAAGTGGAAAAAACCCTGATCACAACCCATACGTAATACAACCTGGACATTGTGGGGAGCCGGGACAATACATGCATTTGACGAAAAAGTTTTTGTTAGATGATGATGTGGCGTCCCCGTGGGGCGATCGAGGTAACCTCATTCACTACGGTCTCAGTATATATCTGACAAATATAAGCGTTTTTCAAACTTAAAAGACATGAGCCTACGGAATTGCTCACGGAGTTAATTCTACCAGAGTTTTCAAAGACGAAATACAGGGTTGCTACTTAATATGGAATATTTTTTATCATTGTTGTTTTTGAGTGCTGATTAATTTTTTTTGGCTTGATTCATCAAAAACAAAAGTGTCACTGAGTGATAAAAATATCCATTCTTTTATTGTGAGATATTTTGGTCAATGATATCAAATCTGACATTAGATGTCATTCAAAAGAAAGGAACACCCCCCAGAAAACCATATCAACAGTTTGATGTCAGTATTAACTTTAAGCTAAGACATTTAAGAAAATGATAGCCTCAGGACAGTGATATGTTACACAGTCAAAGAACACATTACAGTAAATCATGAAAAGTCATTTCATCACTATTTACCGGCCGATGACCATAGCTATTAATTCTGTGAGTTACTTCTGCCCAACGATTTACCATTGGGTTCATATCTGGGGAGTTTGCTGGCCAGGGCAGTTGCTGAACCCATTGATTTTGAATAAAAGCAGTGATTCTGCGAGCTCGATGTGGGGTTGCACAGTCGTCTTGGTGCACAAAGTTGTTCCTGAAGATGACTCTTACAAATCGAAGCATTGTTTACTGTAGAATGTCTCTGTAGAAATCCTGGTTGTGGTTGCCTCCTAGAAAAACCGACTGGTTCTGGGCACCGACATGAAATGCTCCCCAAACAGAGATGTTACCACCCCCTGCTTGCACCCTAGGCAGTACACAATCATCGTTTTATGCCTTTCGTACACATTGGCAGAAACGGATTCGACCACCAACCCTAAAAAATCCATATCTGGCCTCATCACTGAAAACGACGTGATTCCAGTGTTTTGGCTGCAAACGTGGTCCCCAGCCCATTGCAGACGTCTCTGTATATGACCTGCTGTTAACAGTGGTTTCCCTACTGGTCTTCGAGCAAAATAACGGGTTTGCAATCTCTTGTTCACGAGGGACCTTGAAAGGGACGTTTGAATGGCATTCTGCCACTCTTTTCTGAGGACACTGGTTGTCTTTGTACGACCAGCATGGCGTACTCTAAGGAGAAGGCGATCCTGTCTTCTTGGTGGGATACGCGGACACCCTGGTCGAGGTGTTGGAGTAGGTACCCCTGTTGTAGCATTTCTTTGGGGAACTTTGCTAACGATTCCTGATAAATGTTGAATTGCCTGGCAATGGCTGTCCGTTTCTGGCCATTTTCTCTAAAAGCAAGAATCCCATAGTAAGCTGCGTTGCTTAGCTGTCGAACCATATCTTCACTAAGGTACCTGTTAAGTTTCAGAGCGATCCCTTTGCTGCTTCTCTAAACACACTCCAAGGATTGACCAAACCTATGCGTTTTTATTCAAGGGCAGAAATTGCCGAAAAGACCACCCCTCACATTTCTGACCACATTTCTGCAACTGCATGCATCAATAGTTATGTGGTACTTAGGTAACACACCTGGCTACAAATGGAGTGACAACTTTTTGGATTTAAAATAGTTAGAGAGAAATTAAATATTTTGAAAAAAATTTACTCGCCAAAAAATAATATTCCATATTAAGTGGCAACCCTGTATATTAAAATCAGAATATACGGAAAGAGCTTAAGAATCGTTTCAGACTGATTTTATGATAGTGGTAATAAAGAACTGATATGTTCTTTTTTATTAGGAAAGACTATCGTGCACGAATGGGGTCACTTGCGTTGGGGTTTGTTTGACGAGTACGCTTTAGATGACGATCCCAAGGACAAGCCGTTCTACCTCGATTCTGGAAAGATTGAAGGGGTGCGCTGTTCCCTGAACCTGTTTTGGGAATTAAATGAAGGCTGTAACGTAAGCGAATCAAGTGGCTTACCTGAAGATAACTGTATTTTCATCGTTCCAACCAAGGGTCAGGAAGCAACAGCGTCATATGGATCACACCACTACGTACCAACGGTGAGTTTAGTATAGACAATGTAGAAGAGGTTAGCTTCATTTGCCACGACGAAAATTAAGATGAATATGTTCAAAATATATTTTCTAAAGAGATAAAGATGGGGATTTAATTGTGTCTCTAAGGTAACTGACTTCTGCGACAACAATACAAGCCCCTCAAACCGTCATAACGACAGGGCTCCGAATAGGCAAAACCGCTTTTGTGCAGGACGAAGTGCATGGGAAGTGATGAGAGAAAGTGACGATTTTAAAGATGGTAAGTGGGATCTGTTTCCAGCATATTAAAATGAAGATACTCAAGGTAAGCATGGTACGAAATTGTTCATATCATAGCACTATATGCATTTATGTCTTTAATTGGTTTTTATACTACAGCACGGATTTTATTCAAGTTTTTTTTAGTTTTTATGCATGCAATATTTTATCAGTCAGCTCCCCCTGAATAATATTCTAAATCGTAACACTTGATCAGTTACTACTGATACCATGTAAAGCTAGATAAAATACCTTTGTCGACCCTCCTCTACAGCTTAATGACCCTGAAATGCTACCCCAATGTTATAAATCCTGTTGGTAACAATTGTGTATCCTTGGGTATTTGGAGAAAAATCCACGATAATGTCATTTCCTTTCCAGCGTTTCTTTCCAATACGTTCAGTTGATTTGAAGAATTACAGGGTTAGAATAAGTATGATTAGTGTAGTCATAAAATAAATTCTGACTGTTATATTCATTTCCAAGGTCGGAATCCACCTCTCCCGAAGACCCCTGTTACAGGTACTGTACCACATTTCACTGTCCTTCAGCAAAAACCAAGAAGATATGTCCTAGTTCTTGACGTCTCCGGTAGCATGGATAGACAAGGAGAAAACGGGGTAAGATTATATCGAGTGATTTCAATAAATAATCAAAACCACAGTTCAATGTGATTAAGATTTATATTACTCCACGATTCTGTCAGTGACACAATGTATTGTTTGACACCCTTGAAGTCATTACTTGAAAAGTTTATGCCAAAATCGCAAGGCCAAAATAGGTCGTTTGGGAGTTTTATCTGTATGATTTGATAAATAAAGATAATTTTTCGACCTTCTCCTGCACACTTGCATACTGGTCGAGATCTTTAATCTATCAAGGTACATGTTTTGACTGCAATGTTTGCAAACCATAAAAGAAAACGCAGTAATCAACTTGGTATACTAGTTAAATAGTTAGTCTGATAGGAAGCCGTCATCCAGGGGGGCACAGAACGCTCCATTCCGGTATAATGTGACAGAGAGTCCCCCATGACAGAGAGTCCGCTTCCCATGCATTTGTACAAGAGTGCCTCGCCCAAGTTTTTGACCCCCTTAGGTCAGACTAACCCTAACCTTTGTAACTAAGTATGGAGGGCGAACTTTCTATTTCAAGGACCCTCAGTTTCGTTAAACCGGTGGTGTGATTTGGTCTGTGGTTTTTGCATTGGTGCCACATGATACATGTAAAACAAAAACTAATGTGCCAGTATAGCAAATAACTGTAAACACAACGGTTGGCCTGTGGCATCCGTATGTATGTGATTTTTTTTAATTACAGGAATATATTTTTATGTTGAAATTAAACTCTCGTAAGGACATTTTTCTTTCTTTTTACAAGCACGATATACTGGTATGTATGCGTGAGTCACTAACATGGAATCAACATGGTGTGTTATTATTTTTGTCTTTTATATTATATGTTTCAAGCTAAAAAACAATACATTGCCTAAAGAAACAATGTTTCACTTTCCGTTCCTTAGAACACAAGGCTAGAAAACCTGCGACAGGCTTGCGAAGAGTATCTTCTTCATATAATCGCAGAGGGTGACTCAGTTGGAATAGTGGAGTTTGACACCACAGCCGTAATCATAACAAGTCTGACTAACGTATCGTCAGAAAGTGTGAGACGGCAACTCGTGGCCCACCTTCATAATAACACCAGGGGACAAACGTGCATAGGTTGCGGTCTTCTGAAAGGGATCGAGGTAGGCTTCCTAGCATGTGCAGTCGGGTGCATGATTTTTGGAAATAGACTTATAAGCAGCACGTAATAAGCAGATATACATTACCTTTTCTTAAGTTCGGCCATCTTCCTTTTTTTTTTTTTTTTGTCTTTCTGTCTACAATAAAGTGTGCGTTGTTGATCGAACTGCGTTTTACAGTTATGTCATTTTGATGAATTGTACATAGTAAATGGAGAAAATAGCCCACTTAGTTCATTTGTGCCAGTAAATCATTCAAATGCTCATTGCCATGGTAACAAAATCCATTTTGAATTTTCATTATTGCTATTTGTTCACCCGTGAGAAAAAGCTGAAATTTTCAAGAATATTAATAAGTCTAAGAGAAAGGATATTGGTTAATGGGGTTTATTTTGCTATGTCTCTATATACCTTTATTAAAACGGCAGGTGCTAGAAGCTAACGGGGCAGCAGCAGCAGGCGGTATCCTCTTGGTCGTCAGCGATGGAGACGAAAATAGGCTACCGTTCATCTCGGACGTTAAGCCATCGCTAATAGATAAGAAAATCATCACTGATACCATCCTTTTCACAAAGGACGCTGACAGTCAGTTGATTTCCCTGGCAAAAGATACCGGGGGAATGTCGTTTCTAGAGAGCCAGGGTACTCTGTCACCGGCCTTGATGTCCGCTGTGACAAAGACAGTTACTCAGCGATCAGGTGACCAAACGAATACAGTTGTACAAGTACAAAAATTCGATTTCCGAAAATTTCAAAATTGTGAACGTTTTGCACATAGAATGTTCTATTTATTGGTTTTTGTGCAGTAACAATGCATATAAAATCACGGGAAATGTTTCTAATGTCTCCTTTATGATGTATGTCCCGTTTTTGAGAATCTTGATTTTATCTTTAGAAGTACAAAAATCATTATCTTTTTTAAGGCTTCTTAAAAGCTTAAAAGAACATCCATTGCAAATGAATATCTCTAGTTGGCCCTTTTACATCTTTTGCTGAAAGATAACATGAAGTTTATTGAACTCAATACCATTGATTAATGTTTATAGGTGCTATCGGACACGTTGACAGTTGCCGGTGGGGGCATACCTTTACAAGGTGCAATATACGTAGATAGTACAATTGGGAAGAACACGAGTTTCGTTTTCAACTGGAAAGCAGGACTCCGCCAAATCAGAGTTGTTTTAAAGACACCCGATAATGTTACCAACACTCCAGAAGACGACGATTATAATTTTTCCGCTGGTACATTAAGATACAGGATCAATGGCACTGCAAAGGTAAGAGTATCATTTCCTGAAAGGGTACAGAAGTCGTCTTTGAAACATTTCGAAGCTCATAAATGGTATAGCGAAAACATTACGTGTTGCACAGAGCGGTGAGGTTGGTGTTGCGATCTCTAAGTTAATTGAATTATCTTAACCTTGACTTTATGTTGTTGTTTTTTTTTTTACATTTAAGTTAGATCAACTCAATTATATTTTGTGCGTTTTCGGAAATGGCGCCCTAGCAGAGAAAAATATGTCCTCGATTAGAATACGTATAGCTAGGGGGTCATATGAAGAGGTATTATTGGTTTTAATAATCGATAATCAACCGTGATTGTTGTGATAATAGGAATTTTTGCACTCTTTACATCGGATATTTGATTTCCCTTGTCTGAGCGCCTACAGAACATCTGATCCGCGGAATAAGTGATCCGCCGACTAAATATGCCGCTAATCCCCTGATGGTCTCCCCGCCTCCACACGCGCCGTCGCTGCAGGGGCCTAGCAATTATAGTAAACCTCGGAGCTGATATTTAATTCGTTTAATGGCGCGTGTGGAGGAGGTGAGACCATCGGGGAATTTTTTAACTAGGTTGGGAAATGGCTGTACATCGTCAGAAATACGGGAACAGAGATCGCTACAGTCCAGCTGCAAGTGTCATCACGGCCTTCAGGAAGTGGAGAACCGATAGTGTTGACAGCCAGTGTCAGCAGTGATGTAGTTGACTTGGCAGGTACCACTAGCCTATATGTGACAACATGAATCATTAAGATATGTTTGTTGAAATATCGCCATTTTGGATACGTTTAAGCTGCATCTAATGTATTTGCAGCTGAAATATTTTGAATATTTATACACATGAATGCATTTTACAGTTGTTTTTTATCTTGAATACCAGAAATCATGAGAACAATTCAGCAAGTTCTCATAGTTGCATCACAGAAATGAACATTTATGTGAAGTAATTGTACAATATACATCCACATTTCTATTAGACCCTGCCTCTTCCCGTATTGCTATCTACGGAATAGTGACACAAGGCTTTAAAGCTGTGGTCGGAGCAAATGTGGTGGCATATATTGATGCAAGTGGGCAAACAAATACTTTGCAGCTTCTTGATAACGGTGCTGGTAAGTAGCATGTGCTGGTAGCGACTGCTTAGTTGACATTTTTCTTTTTGGTCCAAGCTAAGTCAGAGCTTGTAAGATTTTTACCTAGTATGAAACATATTCTGTTGAATGTTTCATGAAATCAGTGAAGTATTCATATATACTTCCATGTTTCTTTCAAGGGGCTGATAATACCAAGAACGATGGCATCTACACGGCATATTTCCTGAACTTTGGAGAAAACGGAGCATATTCGATTCGCGTAGTTGTGATAGGCGAAGACGGTACTTCATTAAAGTCCGTTATTGGTGGACAAAAAGCCATTAGATTGGTAACCAATAATAGTAAGTAATGCTTAAATATATCAAATAAATACTTTAGCATATTACATGTACAAAGCGGCAGAGTGCCCAAAGACACGGGTCACATTGTTAACCATTATGAACCAGCTATAAAAAGCAGACACAAGTTCTGCCCTCTTATGGGTAGTACTGAGGTGACGGCAGAAGTCTCATATAGAAAAGAAACGTGTACGTGTAAAGTCATGTGGGGGAAATGTGTTTTGCATTTTAGAAAAGAAACGTGCACCTACTATGGGGGAAAACTGCATTTTGTGTTGAGGAATTTAAAAACTTTAACTCCGTGTCCGTGTAGGATTAACAGCATAGATAAAGAAAATGCAGTTCTTCTTCAACCAGTTAATCTATATCATAATGATGATAATGTCCCACTATGTACATATTGACCTCACAATCAATAAGGTAACATTTACGTTAACATTGCTAAAACAAAGAACTTCGATTCATCTCAACCTAACAGTGTGACGAAGCACTGTGTTAGTTGAGACTACTTTATAATGCTACCGGTAGATTTCAAGCCCGGTGTGTGTTTTAGTTTCATTCTCTTCCTGTTACGCTGCATCATCTCTTCCGGTTGATAATTTGTAGGTAAAACTGCTAACTGTATTACTTACTCAGATTGGTGAACGTGCACATGGATGGATATGTACATATGAGGGACTGTTTTTCTATGCTAACGGCAGATATAAAGCGTTCCAGTGAGTGCTTTACGTTGTTTTTAGGCATATGGTAAGGCGCTTGGCCACGACAGTGTCACAATACAACATTTACTCGTATGTGCATGAAGAATTGGCCTGACCAGTTTGAACTTAAAAGGTTTCTGGACAAGTTAGAATATTTCAGGTGTTTAATTTTTTTACTAATTCTAACATTGCAGCTTCAGGATACACCGCAAAGCCGGAAATCACCTACACACCAATAGAACCATTCATGCGTTCCGACAGCGGAGGTTTATTCACCGTTATAAATCTTCCAACTTCGACGCCTGGTTCAGAGCCACCTGACCTCTACCCTCCTGGCAGTATCTACGACCTGGTGCTGGGAGCAGTTAACACTGAGAATAAAACTGTTACATTGTCCTGGACAGCAACTGGTGATGATCTGGATCAAGGAAATGGTAAGTACTTTGTATGAAGTTGTTTGTAATAATACCCCCATGTTACTTCCCGTTGGACGCGTCTCTAAAGAAATAAGGTCGACCTGTCTTAATGCGACCGGTACCTGTAAAAAAGTTAAATAGCTGGTAATCGGGTGACCAGTTAATTTGTGCAAACATTATCTCGGCACACACATTGGTGTCTTGAACAAGTTCAAGAACATTGGGGATGCACATTCACGCAGAAAGAAGAGTGATTAAAAAGATGAAAACATTTTGATGACTTTGATATCTTCTCATGAAATGTAGGGTAAGCATGTGGATTAGGTAAAGCAAGTCTATGTTTACCCTTGCCATATGCAAACGTTTACACATAACATACTTCCAATTACTTTCTTTCTAAATACTTATATTATTACAGCATCGAGCTACGACATCCGATACAGCACTTCAATCTCGGATATCCGGAATAACTTTATGGAATCGAATAAGTTTCTTGATGACGATCTCCTTCAAGGGAAACTCGACTCTCCCTTGCCAGCAGGCGGAGCGGAGACTTTCATTGTCCAATTCAACCAAACTGTTGATCACAACGTCACGTATTTCATTGCGTTAGTGGCAACGGACGACAGAAATCAATCAGGACAAGTGTCAAATGTCGTGTCGGTCTCTTTTGTCTACGTTAATCCGTTTCCTTCCGCCGATCCTGTGACAAGTACAGAGGCAACCACTGAATACGAAACGACTGCAGTGGACACAACAACTGAACTTACGACCCTCAAAAGCAAGCCATTGGAGGAGGACAATCCGTTCAATATCATTGGTATTATCATAGCCAGTGTTGCCGTTGTGGTTATAATTATCATAGCTGTTGCAATTGCACTACATATCCGAAGGAAAAATCTATTGAAGGGGTACGTAATTCAATAGCATGAAATATTTGTCACATAGAATTGGGTAGAAAACAATTGAAAAGCTGATATATATTCAGTTGCATTTTGCTTATCAGTCTATTAGTCTGCGTCATGTCTCTAAGTGTTTTCTGTTGTGTCACACCTTCAAACGGATGAATGTTCTGTATTTACCTACGCATAAAAGCTGTTTGCTTCCATTTAAGGGTATATGACGTGAGGAAGGTGTTTACAAAACGTACGGTAAGTTACACATGCATTAACTCTCTTTAACGGACATTATATTAAGAATAACTAACATCCAGAATAAATGATTATTTTAAGAACATTTCAAAATATCAAAATGGTCATACTTACTATTTCATATTCTAACATTTCATTATGTATAGGAAAACCAACACCACCCGAGAAATAAAAAGGAAACAGCAGACGAAGTCGTCTAACTAGTGGGATTTAAAATAAGCGCATACCCATTAGGAAAACCGAGGATGGATGTATCTTGTAATTGTATTCGTATCCAGTCAGACGCATCCATTGACTAGTAGCTTCATCACCTGACTTTGGAGACTACACGCGTACTATTGAACATGTAAACCCAATAGCCGCATATATTAAATATGTATCCGGAATCAGAGTTTGTGTATTCCAAAGCCCTGTATCTGCTGAATACCATAACCGCCTGGTGCAAGAACACTAGCCCAGCAGATGTATCCCGGTGTCACGTGAAGAAACCGTCGTCGTGAATAAACCGTTCTGAGGGATTATTCACGCGGGGGTAGCAGTCTGTTGACATACAGTACGTAGCTGCACATGCATTTCCAACATTTCCCCGTAGAGAAAGTTGTAGTATTATCAAACACACAATTTCTTTTTAATGAAAATGACTGTACTCTGAATTGAAAGAACATTGTAGCGTGAAAACATTTATACTACGAGTCTTAGATCTACCACGTTTTTCACACAGAGCAAAACAGTTCAGTCACGATCAAAAGCTCACTTCCAACATTCCCCCTTATACTGTAGTAATAAGATTATCAAATACATACTCTCTCATGACGAAAACCACCGAATTATGAATTGAAAGATCATAGTTCAGTGCAAACATAGCGCCTACTTAGGACGACATCGTCATACCGGAAGTTACTTCTTTCAATCTACCCTCAATGCGCATGTGCAGAACGGTTTCGTTACGGCACGGGTCTATCACGCAACACCGGTGAGGTAAAAGATTTCATTCGAGTTTTTAAACAAGCAACCTCTCCTCCCAATGGCTACCTCTTCATCGATCTAAAGCAAGGTATATTTCCCGAGGAAAACAACGCTGATGAGTACCAATCAGAGACTATAAAGTATTTACAAGAGGAGAAATATAAGGCGCAACCGTTTACCAAAATAACTGATAAAATAGAAGCAGGCCAACGCAAATTGTGGAAAGGAGATGACCTTACCTTGGACGAAAAGGTTGATTTGAATGATGAACTGTCCCTCGAGAAACAGTCATACTGGAAACGACAAAAAACACAAGAAGGGCAGTGCCATAACCTATGGTGGCTGAAACAGTGTATATGAAGACCACTCCTACACAACACTCAGCACTCCCTCCGCCATATAGGACTGTAGATTCACCGCAACGACCGCCCACCATTACCAGTGGAGTCGGCCGTCCCATGGCGGGGCCTAAAAGAAAACTGTTTGATAAAACACCAAGATAACCCGTACAAAAGCGAACACGTTTTAAAAACGCTTTTTCCCCAAAAGACATATAATTTTAGATCGAAACCTAAACAGACAGGAATGGGAACTCCCTTATTACAACGGTATGTGTCGGATTCAGAATATGAAGAGTCTCCGTTAACTTAAAAAGGTCGATCTATGCCTGGCAGCCATACAGCGAATCCTGACAGTGAATACTATACCGATTCCGATGTGTCTGGTAGCATAGAATTGCAAACAGAGCAAACCGAAATGTCAAACACAGAGTCAGAGGACAGCGAGTTGGAAAGCGGTGAAACTTCCAACGAGTCGGCTACAGAGACGGGCGATAGTGCAAATATTGGAACAAATCCCTTGACCCTATTATTTACAATAAAAACCATATCGAAAATGATCCAATATAAAGGCGCTTTTACATTACTATCAAAAGGGATAGCAATACCCGTCGTTATCTTTCCGTGGCCGATATGCTATTCCTATCAAGATACCAGTTCAGAAAAAATAGTAAATAATCTGTTGTATAAGTTGATTAATTTTTCTTCTACTTTCTAAATATTGCTATTTATAAAATATAACCCACAGTCTAAATGCGTTGCATATATTCTGATGATGGAGATGTGATTGTAAACCCTTCTGTAAATAAAACTACCTTGTCAATAAAAAAATATCGCCATTCATCACTGTTAAGTAAACAGTATGTTAGCTGACTGCTCTATGTCCGATCAAAAGCTATTGTAAGCTTGGTCAGAATTCCAAAATACGAGTAAGCGTCACTGTTTACACAAACTATAATAGTGTTGTAAGTCGTAGTTGCCCAATAAAACAAAAGAAATGCTGTCTTCATTGCTGACACACTCTATTGTAAGCTATAAGGTACGCATGAATCTAAAAATCGATTGTTGACACAATCTATTGTAAGCTATAAAGAAGACAGAACTCAAGTGAGCTTCACTGTTGACACTGTTCACATGCGCGTCTTAGCGTAACTGTTTGTATACCCGCTTATCGAATCAACCCAATAATGCACTGAAACAAACTTCAGTGCAAGTGCACTATAACCAATGACGAGACGAGACTGAAAATCAAAACAGACAAGATTTTCAAAAACAAAATTATGTCATAAAAATTTTAAATCCACAAGAAAAATAGATAAGACTTTAAAAAACAATTAAAAAAGAATTGGTAGCCATAGTTACCCCTCCCTCAAAAACAAAGAGACAGACAGACAGACAGACAGGCAGACAGACAAACAAACAAAGAGACAGACAAACAAACAATCCACACGTGAATCCACACGGGGCTAGAAAGTGATCACTCAAGATTGTGTTTTTGCTTGAAATTTATGTATTTTTCACAAGTTAAAATGTAATCTCACACATTGGTTTTGAATATACAGGGGAAAGCAAAACATATGTTAATGAAAAATCTTCTTTTGTAAGCAGACCCAGACTCAAATATATTACATTATTCAACGCAATTGTTTTTCATATAGAATAATTTATTATATCTTATGCACCAGTATATATACTGGTGAATATTGGGAAATACATTATCTTGTATCATACATCAGTATAGGCCTACATACTGCCACAATCACACAGGTAGTTACTTTGTGTCTTTGAAGATAAGATTAGGAAAATGTAAAATAAATACAATGAACCTTAAATTGATATACATGTGTAAACTCGCATCCTTCATCTGTCCTTAAGGATTCTAAGTTAGTTCATACTGCCTAGATCTCATCCAACTGGGGTTAGTTTCCTGCCTCGAACGTCACCCTTTCCATTACTACCGCGCACTTTTGAGATTACACCCTAGCTTTCTCCGCATTTGTCAGACCCACATGACAAACACGACTTCTAGGTTCGAAAACAGTGTCTCCCGTCCCTTCTCCACACTCCTAACACTCCTTCATTGTTTACAAATGTGTCGAGGTCATATAAGCCTTATTACCACCAGTAGCGGCCTTCCTATTGGTTCGGAAGGTATAAATTGTTCCGCATTCTTCCGCAAGATGACAAAGAGTTTTGTTTGTTTTTTTTACTGACGACTTACATTTAGTGTGGTTAACGGCCTTGGATATTTATTAATTTTTGATATTTTTATCAAAATCTATAAACAAAAATTACACTCGCAAAAAAGGAAATGGTCTGAAACGATATCGTGGGACATCTTTTACACTAAAAATATATTATATTATTGATCGTGTTTGTAAGTCCCCATTTTCCATACAAACGTATCGAAGGATTAATACTATTGACCATATATATATGCTCAAAAAGTATCACATAGTGAGTGAATATTGTCAGTCATCCAGAAGAATAAGATTGAAGAATAATGACCCAGGTCAGCAAACACAGCGTATAATAGGTGCATTTGGCTAAAGTGGAAGCGGAAGGAGCCTGGTTTTTCCAAGAAGAGATATAAATAGAAACTTCCATATATGGTATCCACAAACTCATTAACGACAGCTGTTGTTAGCAACGACCACATCAACAGAAGTAAGAGAAGAAACCAGAAGGAGGACGACAATTTCCATTCCGCTCCATAGCACGGTAAGTGAAAATGGAAATACATGTATTAATGCTAAGTAGAATGCAATAATTCTAAATCAAGGTTAAACAATCTGTTTATATTCTGTTCAATTTCAATTAATTTCTGTACTGGTATATGTACATTTAAAACTAGGTTTATTCAGAAAAGGAGGCAAATCACTTCCACCCTAGCATCAAATGCCCCCCTTACCAGTATATAGTTTTATATAGTTATAAAGTTCAGTAAAAATGGCTTAGGTTGGGAAAATGTTAATAAATGTTTCTTGGATGAATTTGGTCCAGTAATGGGATAATATAAACCTGGGGCTGGTTTCATCAAGGCTGGATAGCGCTATCCTATGGGTAAAAATGGCCGCTTTTTTTTTTTTTTTTTTTTTTTTTTTTTGGGATAGCGCTATCCAGAGGATAGTGGGTTTTATCAACAGTGGATAGCGTTATTCAGGGGATAAATCAGCTTATCCACAGGTCTACCCAACTACCAGACTCGGCACATAATGATCCTAAATTAACCGGTATATCGGACCACACTACCCGTTTTCAAGGTGTGTGTCAGATCGCATTTCGGAGTATCAGTCAGAACACCGACAAGATGAGGCCGCGCTCGGCTGTCACCTTTATTGGATAGTAAACGATTGTCGTAAAATCGCTATATGATTTTAAAACCGGGTGCATAAATTTGAAAACCACCTAGAACAACCTTAGACTGTACTCTTACTTTAGAGTACTCTATTTTATTGTCTCTATGGGGGTA